GGACTGGACTGACTGTACTGTGAGCTGGATTAGTTACTAACTGAGATTATAATCAGACTCACACTGACCGAGCAGTCTGAGACTCTCCAGGGCTGGACTGGATTTACTGTACTGTGAGCTGGATTAGTTAATAACGAATTAACAGAGAGAACTCTCCTACAATCAGAGCATTTGGTGACAGGCTCGAGGGGATGTAGTCAAATCCCTTCCACACCCCCTACTTCCAATACATGTACTGTTTGGCACAGGGTTCTGTTTCCGCCCAGACTTCGCTGGCTCAGATCTGGGCTATCCTAAGGGTCCTGACACTTAGACAGATCTGCTGAGCGTGCTCTGAGGCAGCCTGTGAGTTTGCAGTGTACTTGCCACCTCTCTGTCTGCCCTCTGTGGTTCATGGAGCGACAGAGGAGCGGCATGCCTCTTCATGCTCACTTAGGAGGATCTGGAATGTTGTGAGAAATATCAGGAAAAACGGATTTCAGTTTTTCAGGCATCAGGTTACACAATAGACAAAGGCATTATTGCGGTGTGGTTCTGTACAGTTGCAATAAAATTATGTAAATGAAGGAGGAAACTTTCAGCGCAGAACCAAAGCTGTGCTACGTGGAGAGAGAGGAGACCAGATCTTCTGTAGACATGGGCGTCTTGCGAGTCACATGACCAGTGACCTCACACTCACAGAGCTCCTCCTGATGGGCTGAACGCAAGACATGTTTCACAGCACAGAAGTCAGGTTTGCTCTAGGAAACATGGGAAGAGCAGATGGACACGCTGCCTTCTGGGTGTCCCCCAAAGCGGAGGTGTGGAAACAATAACTGGCGAAGTTTTTAGAGTTTCAGAAACGCTGTCCTGTCTGCTCTCGGAGGATGCAGAAGGCAGGGGCTTTCCAATCCAGCCTGGGTCAGAGAGAGTGCAGCGTCCGTCTCTATAAAGAAACAGAATCCTTTATTCTGCAGCAGTCTTGCAGCCCGGTGCTGCTCTCGGAAGGCCTATGGAGGAAACAGGAAGTGAGTCAGTCTGCGCTGCAGGCCGAGGGCTGATGGGCCCCTGCAGGGATTTAGACCAGACTGTCTTCTGTAGTTTGTGTTTGCGCTGTGTCTCTGGGAAGAGTGTTCAGGGGGCACAAGAGTGAACTGTAGACAGTGACGGAGCTCTGTCCCTGTCTTGCTCTTTCTCTGTTTCTGCCTTCCTCCCCCACAAGCCTTTTCTGTTCTGTCCCACAATCCCTCTCTCTGTGGACATGGCTGTCAGCTGCTTCCCTGCTTCTTTCCTCCTAGCTCTCTCCCTCCTCTCTCCCTCTCTTTACCCCTTTCTCCTCCTTCTCCCTCCCTCTCTTCTCCCTGTCCCTTTGTCTCCTGCATCTTTCCCTGCTTTCTCCCTCTCTCCAACCCTCTCCTCCCTCTCTCTTTCCCTGAGTGACATGTGGACAGAGGTGTGTTGTCAGTTTCGCAGCAGCTGAGCTCAGAGCACAGCACTCTCTTGCCTTCTCCCTCAGTCTCTCACAATACCTCCTCCTCTCC